CAGTAACTCATCGAAGAAGACATTGCTAAGTGGTCGCGCTATGTCGTGAATTGGCAGAAGTTAGAATTCAAGGACCATTGGATCGAGTCCCAGTGGCTCAATGGTCTACGAGCTATCTCGCCTTGTAACCAGAAGGTCCTGGGTTCGAATCCCGGTGGGTGCGTACTGATGAAGAGTCCCAAACTAGGACGAAACAGCTGTCCAGTATTCCCTGCAGGTTTTCCGGTGGTTCTCTAACTGATGTCAGCTCACGATTAAATCCTCCATGCAATCAAACAAAATCCCTACAAAACCAATACTTGAAAAAATATAATTGTTACAGAGCTTAAATTAGTGTTTATACATATGAGCAAAGAAACAAAAAAAAATATGAGAGGACTATAAATTTAAGAAGAATAACAACAATAAAGCCTGATGGTGCAAGAGGGGAGAAAAATTAGTGATTTACTAGTGGAAAAAAGGTTAATTAGTCATGCTTTTACGAATTGATCACGGATTGATACCAGTACTGCCGATAATTCCCAAACGAGGATGAAACAGCAGCAGTCCAGTACTCCCTGACTGGTTTTCAATGGTTCTCTAATTGATATCAATTCGTGATCAACTCGTAAAACTCATAAAAAAACCCCTTACAAACCCAATGGCTGAATGGTATGTGGGTTCGCTTGCCTTGTAACCGGAAGGTCCTGTGTTCGAGCCCAACTGTGGTGGGTGCGTACTGCGGATGATTCCCAAACTAGGCTGATGAAACAGCAGCTGTCCAGTACTCCTTGGTGGTTTTCAATGGTTCTCTAACTGATATCAATCCGTGATCAACTCGTAAAACATAACTAATCCTTACAAATCAAACTATAGAAAATAATAATTAGTCAGTGGTATTACACCAGCAATAAAATCTAACGAGTGAGTCATTCTACTCTCTATGGGAAGTCTTCTTGTGTTATCTGGTCAAACAAGTAGTGAGATATATGACAGTAGTCTGTATTAGACCCTGTGAATTTCAGATGTTGTTGATAGTGGCTTACCCAGCGAAGAGACTCTTTCCAACAACGAATTTATTATCAAGCCTGGGAAGTCGTATATATGTGGCTTCTTCTTAAGATATAATATCCGGTGAGGGAACTGAATCAATGGCGTGAATACATGAAATAATTAATAGTAGTAGTATGAAATGCAATAAAAATGTTTGTGATTATAATATATGTGTAAAACTTGGTCAATATGGTAGTAAGTAATTCCATATTAGTTTGTTTATTAGATGTATCACACAGTGAAGAAACAGTATTATTATTTACTGGATGACGTTTCGAACACAGTTTGTTACCGTTCATAATCATTTCATCAATCATAATCACATGACTGCGAAACTTGACTTTTATAGTTTTCTTTGTTCTCTCCTATTTGTCATAGTGGGGGTAGTAGAATTTTCCAAATATCCGAGTGGATAGGTGTTGAATCATTCCTATTACACGTACTCTATTCAGTTGATTCGATAAATAGAGCTTCCGTTGTTATCAATCTCTCCCTCCACTCTGTGACATTCGATTTTAAAACTGTCATCTTATCCCATCCCATCCTATTGTATGGTTGGTTGTGTGTAATTGCAGTTAGTGAGTGCTATAGCTGAAGTATTCTCTAGATTTCTTATCTTATTCGGATCAACTAATCTAGATTTTGCTGCTAGGTTTTTACACTCGGCTAGTCTGACTGACTGCCCCTGTTCTACTAATTTGACCTATGTGTTTCACCTGACACACAATCATTCCAGCGGAGTATTAGATAAAATAAATTGTTTTGTTTAATTGACTCCACACGACTGACTGATCCTTTAACCGACAAAACTTCTTTCTAAGTGAGTTCGTGGAAAGTTTGAATGCCAGCCACTTTTATTCCTGCCTGCATTGTTAAGAATTCTCAGCTGTAAGGTGGTTTCTGAGGTTCCTACTTTGTATGGAAGTACTACTGATGGTGATTTGAATTCCCTATTACCGGTGTTGTCATCACTCTGTGCATGGTTTCACATGCATGTCACCATTCCTATTATTATTATTATTATTATTATTATTAACACTATCGCTACTATCATTATTTATTTATTTATTTTATTTTTACATTTCCCTACATACTTCCTAATTAATTGAGTAGGGTAATTATTAAGTTTCAAAGGTTCTCTTATATGTGTCACTTCCTGTCTTAGATTTTCCTTGGTACTACTTAGTTTTTGTGCCCTATTACTTAAACACTTCACCAATCCTGCTTTTCACTGACGTGAGGTGGAATCAGCGGAAATCCAAATATCGGTCAAGATTAAACTGATAGGATAAGAAATCTTTAGAATAGTTAGTGCAGCTATAGCACTCACCAATCATACAACAGGACAATGGTATAAAATGACAGTTCTAAAATCTAATCTAATATAACAGGGAATAATAACTGAGGAGAATACGTGTAATAGGAAGGATTCAACACCTGTCCATGTGGACATCTGGAAAATTCTACTAGCCCTATGATAACGAATAAGGGAAAGAATAAAGAAAACTATAAACCTCAAGTTTTGAATTCATATGAACTGTGATCAAGATTTGACCGAATAGTTGCAAAATAATTGAGCGCTGAATGAGAAGTAGACTTTATAAATGTCAAGTTTCGAAGTTGTGTGATTATAATTAGTGATATGATTATGAATAATAAGTAAATAGTATTCGAAACTTCGTCATCCGGTAAATAATAATAATAATACTGTTTCACCGATATATCCATCTAATGAACCAAATTAATATAAACATTTGAAAAGGATATTAAGATGAAATCTTAATACAATAAATCAAGGCTTATATCCAAGGGGTATATACACACACACACACACACTAAAATAAAGTGACCATTTAATCTAACTCTAGAAAGAATACTGTGCGCAAACGTGGCTTCCTGGGTTAAACACTCAACTCTTTCACAGTCACCACGTTCTACATTGGAGTCTCATTCTGCCTATTACTTCAGAGTGAGCAACTAACTGGATAGTGGCAGTATCATCAGTCTTTACAACATCTCAAGTATGCCTCACACCTTGGAGGAACTGAGTTCAAGCAACGCGTAAGGAGTACTAAAATAAACAATAAAATAAATATTAAGAGGATGAAACTAATTCCAGGTTAGTTTGTTTAAAGCCTTTCAATGAACCCAACCAGTCTGCTTATAAACATAGTAGGTGTACGTTAGATGCCGCTGTTGTCGTACATCATAGTATAGTCTCTAGTCTAGATAAAGAAACTAAATACGTTCAGTGTGCCTTCCTTGATTACACATCTGCGTTTCACTCTGTACCTAGGTCTCTCTTGCTAAGTAAGCTTGCTGCAACACAGGCTAAGAGCTGAACAAATAATTGGTTGCATTCCCATTTTTCTGATAAGAAGCAGTACACTGTCTACAATGGAAAGTCCTCCACTACCTCACTTACTTTAGCTGGTGTTCCTCAAGATGCTGTTCTTTCTCCTTTTCTGTTTTCTTTTTTCTTACATGACTTGCCCCATTCTGATGTAGCCACTTTTGTTAAGTATACTGATGACCTCTCTGTTTCTGTGCCCGTCAACTCTCAGATTGTTCCAAATTAAATAACTTTCTGTCGGAAATTAGTCAGTGGTCCTCTTCAAACGGTCTCATGCTGAATCCGTCTAAATGTTAGGTAGTCAATTTCACTTTCAGACGAAAACGTGACTTACAACAACTAGCCAGCTCACATGGCCCCACTATCATTGACGGCACAGAGGTTGAAAATACATCTAATGTCAAGCACCTTGGGCTGAGTTTTTCCACCGATCTTTCCTGGTCCTCCCACATTTTGCTAGTTACTAGAAAGATGTTTCGCTTAACGTTCTACATTAGGAAATTTAGGCAGTCTGGCATAAAGCAATCTTTACTTTCTCAATTTGTAAATTCTTGTATTCTACCCATCCCCTATTACTGCTCTTCATTAGTCTTTCCTGGACTATTTAAGAAAGACTTTGCTTTGCTGAGGAGGGCAGGCACTAAAAGCCGTTAGTAGGGCAAGTGGGATACTGTTAAACCAACTGGTTCACACTATTGTAGATAGACATATCATGTCATGTAAGAAACTAGCGAATACAATATTGTCAGACCCCGAGCATCCTCTCTATACGCAGCTGTCTCCTTGCATTTCATCTTGGAGAACTAGAAGCAGCTATAGGAGGCTATATGCTAGGACTACAAGTACAAAAACTCCACAATACCGTATCTGGCACAGGTGTTATATGATGAGAAATCCGTTAGGTATGACACAATCAACTTACTGCGGCACACTCTAACAAATAGTCCCATTAGTTTTTGTTTTCCTTTCCTCGTTACTATTACACTATTGTTGTTCACATCTTCTATTACACACCAATTTTATATTTCATATCCTGTGGTGCCTTGTTTAAAAAGTAAACGCAACGCTGTTCTTTTTATTTATCTTTTTTTGGGTGTTGCTTTTTGATTTTAAAATCTTATAAAAATTTATGAGGTAATTAGGTGCAATATATATTGTAATGCACGCTGAAAAAATCTATACCTGTACCACAAATACTGTTTGGAATAAAGCTGTTATTATTATTATTATTACATAGTCAGTGAAACAGTTTTATTATTATTATTATTTACTGGATAACGAAGTTTCTCCGAATACAATTTATTTATTGTTCATATTTATATATCGCCAATTATAATCACACGACTTCGAAACTTGAGTTTCATGGTGCTTTATGTTTGTTCTCTCCTAAACGTCAATCTTCGGTGTATCTAGCTTGCAAATTATCTATTCTTTATTCTTGAATTTTATCATATCCTCTGTATGCGTAATAATTGTTATAAGGGATGACAGAACAATCACTTAACAATAAAAAACACAAATATCTCGAATGATATTCTAATTTTAAAAAAAGCACTCAAGTTTTTTCTTAAATCTATCCCGTAGGTGTGTATATATGTATATATATATATATACATCGAAATGTACTGAACTGAGTTAGATTTCAGTCGCTCACCAACGACAGTCCTTGTAAACCCATGCATCAAAATACCTTGTCTCCTATTACCCTGCTTATTTCCTTTATAACATTAAGCTGTGCATTAATTCCAAAACCTTATGACTATAGAAAGACGAAATCATTGTGTAGTATTGGTGAAACACTTGAATTTATTCATGAATATCCTTCATGTTTTATACTTAAAGAAGCATTGAAACGATTCGATGAACACTTGTCACTTAGAAATACACCATTATTATCAAATGTTACATCCAAGTGTGTTATAACCTCTCTTGCAGTAGATATAGAACAATCGTGTGATGAAAGTGAGAATAAACTTTGGCCATCTGATATGATGGATGAATCATGTGAGTGATTGTGTTTGTGGTGGTTATTTGTTTTTAACAGGATCGGGTTGCTAGCCAGTCTAATAAGACTGGTTTTTTAGAGGTAGAGGAGGAGTGTGTCCGTTGACAGGGGATCGAACCCTGAACCATCTTTGTGATGTGGTCAGCGAGCATTATACCGGTGTACCACCGATGCATTGAATTCATTTCTTTGATTGGACGCTAGTCAGTTACTAGTGTGATGTGTCTAGTCCTTCCTTCCTTTCTTTCTTTGGTGCAGACTGAATTCTATCAGTCAGTCAGTCAGTCAGGTTTGCAATGTGGCCACCATGCTACTAGGTAGCTCGCCATCACCTTGCACACATTGATTTGATGATATTAGTTGGTTGGAGGCAGTTGGGCCTCAGGAAGCCTTACCTGACCTGGGTGTTTCATGCTAGTTGGCGCCCATCAGCAAGACGTATCCGCAGCCATCTTGAAGGAACTCATGTCTCTCCTTCTGAGATTCGAACCTGAGTCACCCAATGAGTATTGCAGTTAGTCAGGGAAGTTACCACTGAGCTATTTGGGCTCGCTATTGACCTTCTGTAGGACTGACTGTAGTGGTGACTTTGATTGGACCCTAGTCAGTAACTAGTCTGATGTGTCTAGTCCTTCCTTCCTTCCTTTCTTTGGTGCAGACTGAATTCTATCAGTCAGTCAGTCAAGTTTGCATTTCAATTTTTAATGCCTATTGTTTTCCTTTCCATTTTTAGATATATTAAAGATTCTTGAAGGCGGTATAGAAATAGCTGCGAAAGAGATATGGGGTGTATTACACGCCTTAGAAACTATCCTACAATTGACTTATAGAAGTGAATGGGATTCGGTGAGTTGAAATTAATTTTTGGAATCTAACAAAGCTTCTCATCTCATCTCATGTCTTCTTCACTTCGATAGAAGGTGATATATGAAGCTTCTGTGTATGATGTTCCAGCATATTCACATCGTGGTATTATGATTGACACAGCTAGACATTTTCTAAGTGTCTCTGAGATTGAAAAAATCATCGTAAGTCATCGTAGTTATTATCAGTGATATTTATGAAAAATAGGATGCAATGTCCATGGTTAAAATGAATGTTTTACATTGGCATGTTACCGATGATGAATCATTCCCGTTTGTAGTGTCAGCTTACCTACAACTATCGGCACAGGTAATATTTTATAACATTTTTTTATGTTTAAATGTATAAATATCTAAATTATTTAGGGTGCTTTTAATCCTCAATTGATGGTATATCAACGTAATGAAGTGTTATCCTTATTAGAATATGCACGTTTACGGGGTGTACGTGTTATGGCGGAATTTGAGACTCCAGGTAAGTTTTAATTTGGTGTTGTGGCCTCTTTTTTTATTTTACCCTGAGCAATTAATTCTTCACACAATCATCAATTATATTTTTGAGTAATTCAACAATGATAAATGTCTTAAATATTCCCATTTTTAATATTAGAACAATAATAATAATGGTAAAGCTTTATTTAAGACAGTATGAGAATATACGGTACAAAAATTTTCAGAATATGCCGATGATTCCCAAACTAGGATGAAACAGCAGCTGTCCAGTACTCTCTGGTTTTCAGTGGCTCTCTAACTGGTGATATCCATCCGTGATCAACTCGTAAAAATAATAATAATAATGTGGTAAATGTCTTGAACGTAATTAATAACGATGATTATAATGATAACAAAATATTGATAATGATGTTTACGCAGGTGGCGATAAGAATAACGAAGGTAGTCAGTGATATGTTTATATGTAGACAACTCAATAAATAGATTAGGTCAAATCTTAAAAGGTAATCAGAGTTTAAATAAATATCATAAAAGTACGAAGGAAATAGAAAATAAGAAAGGGTGAGAGGGTTTTGAATAGAATTCACCTAGGCGAAGCAAGGGCGAGACAAACTTGGTAGAACAAACTTCTTTTGCTGTGTGCAAAGACACTAGTATTGTTCTCTCTGAGGTTATCTAGAGCGATAAAACGGACTTATACTGCTGCCACCCTTTGTTTGTCATTTTGCCAGCCAATCAATTTTGATTCCTCAAGTGAAAAGCAATCTGTCTAGCTAGCTGTGCCACTTCCATGTGTATCTATAAATTTAGTTGCTCCTGTGTAGAGAGCTATATAGGCCGAACAAATAGACAGCTTAACAAACGTATTAATGAGCACCATCCTTCATGGTTCGGAAAAGGTCAAATAAATTCCATACGAAGTTCTGTTTTGGCTTATTTCATTGATGATAGCGGTCACCAAGTGGACAAAAATACTGCCCTCAAAGTTATCTATTGCATTCTATCGAGCCTTTCAAACGGAATCAGAACCCTTCTTTTATACATAGCAGAAGCTATGGGAATTAATTCGAGAGAACAGTCCCAGTGTCTTTGCTTACAGCAAAAGAAGTTTGTTCTACCAAGTCTGTCTCTCCTCTGCTTCGCCTCGGTAAATTCTAATTTACAAAATCCTCCCATCCCTTCTTATCTTCCATCTCCTTCGTACTTTTATCATACTTATTTAAACCCTGATTATCGTTCCATTTCACCTTTTAAGATTTGACCTAATTTATTTATTTATTGAATTGTCTTCATATACACATATCACTGACTACCTTCGTTATTCTTATCGTCACCTGCATAAACCTTATTATCAATATTATTTTGTTATCATTATGATCATCGTTATTAACTGCGTTCAAAACATTCACCACATTTGAAAAAATTAAAGCAATTAGTCCCTTTGATAAATTAGAATAAGGCATTAAGAAGACAAATTTCTCGAGATGTTATCTTCATTTTTTAGTTTCTTGACAACCACTTTACAACTAACATGGTTAACAATAATAAAATAAAATAAAGATCATGACAATTACTCAGTTAAATTAAAAACAGAAGTACATACTAATGACCAATCATATTTAGATAGGCCATATAGTCCAACATAGGCGAAGATTGAAGTTTATTGATTTTTGTACACACAGTTAAGGCTGTATGTGATTAATCCAAAGTGCTTCCATCACCATCAATAACCAACCTTGAATTAGAGTTATGTGAAATAATTGTGAAACAGTTATGAATAGTGATTTTGTGACCTGATATCAATAAGTGTTTTGCAATGGATGATGCTGGATTTCTATTCAGATTAATCGCATTGAGATTTTCTATATGTGCGTCAGTGGCACAATGGTTAGGACTCTCGCCGACCATACACATGGTCCGAGGTTCGATCCCCTGCCGACTCACACCTCATATCTATGGTCGGCCTATAAAATTTGGGCTACCGATATCCATGCTGAAAATTCCATACTTGTACTAAAAATACAGTGTGGAATCAAGCTGTAATCAAAAATTTAAAAAATAATAAATAGTAGCCATTTTGGAACATGTTCTTTTCGACCACGACATTGGAACATTCTGTTGGTTCTACCTATATAGGTGTCACCGCAGCTGCAGGTGAACTTGCAGATGCAGTTTGAAGTAGAGTCCACAGAATTTCGTCCTTTATTCTTTTGGATACAGGCGTCGAAAATGTTCGCCTACCATGAACTGACTACTTGACCTATTTAAATGTGATGATTGGTCATTAGTATATACTTTTGTTTTTTATTTAACTGAGTACGTAGACGTAAATATTTCGGAATTATATAATTTTTTTAAACATCGACTGTTAAAAATCCGATGATTTGTCATTCTTGCTTCAGTTTGAAAAAGTCTTGTGAGTTTGCTGATAAGCTTCCTAGTAGGAAGACCATATGTATCATTAATATAAGAATAAAACTTGTCCACTATGGTGGTAGAGTGTAAATTTTGTTTTGATAAAGTCTCACAGTGTTATACGGTAATGTTTACTGATGACCATGTTTCGAGCACAATTTATTGCCACTTATAATCATATCAATGAAACCACACGACTTTCTAACTTCATTTATATAATTTTATTATTATTCATCGCTTGATTTGATTGGAAGTAGTATTTTCCATATTTCAGGTATGAGTGATGAATCATTTCTGTTGCATGTGTTGGGTAAAGACTCGATGAACAAGGATTCAGTAATCAATTCAGTAATTTAATGCCTAAAACTAATAATGCTAGTAGAATGTATGGTACTATTAAAATACATAAATCCCATGCCACCAATAGTAGACTTCAGGAATACTCCTACTTATGAATTATTAAAACACTTAGCTCTAATAAACACTTAGCCCCATTAGAAATCGCTCAAACTCTTGGCTAGCTAATTCATTTGACATGAAAAATAAACTAAATGACATTCTTTTCAATAATTTCTCCTCTTCAGGTTCTTACAATTATAAAATAGAATATATTTATGGTCGTTACAATAATGATAGCCAGTTATGCGGCGGATACTATTTTAACGTAGAATACACAGATTAGCAGTTATAGGGTGTGAAAATAAATAGTCGTATTCATGTGACAAACGTCGTGCTAAGCTGAAATCGAATACAAAATATTTCGGTGAAATGGGAGACAATGGTGGTGATGAATCATATAATAGATTTGTAGGGTGTGGGGTAGGAAAACTGACAAATCAGTTCAAGGTTATAGAAGGTGTCAGGTGAGTCAGTGGCCAGTACAAAGTGGTCTGTCTTAAAACAGGGGATAGTAGGACTGCAATGAGAGGTTCATAATGAACTAACGAATATGTGAAATGAAACAGGTGAAGGCATATATTGAGAAAACAGATAATATCACTAATAATAAGTCCGTATAAATGAAAAATTCGATAGTATTGAGGGAATGTTTGCATAAAGGGCATCAATTATGACGAATAATAATAACTGTAATAATAATATTTGTAATAATAAGCAAAGTAAAAAAAACCCAAGAGGATTAAGGGGAAGGAGCACTCTTGGTGAGAAGAAGAATCATCAATCCAAGTGTGACCACGTTAGGAATAGCATCTGGACGTGTTATTTTTGGATAAAAAGTTCCGGTTTGGTCAATCTCATTGCAACAGCTTCAGCTATGTGCTGGACCAAGCTTTTAAGTGTTTTATATTTATAATTGTAAGAACCTGAAGAGAAATTATTGAAAAGAATATTCTTCGTTCATATTGACTTTTAAATGACATTCAACTAGAGAATGATGAAACAATGGTTAGTTTTTTGATACAAATAGTCTTTATACTAATATACCAATCAATATGGCCTTAGAAGCAGTTAAAAAAAGAGTTAACTGCAGACCCTGAACTCACTTATAGGACGAAACTAACCATTGAAGAAATTATTTTAGGAATTCACTTATGCCTCACATCTACTATCTTTAAATTCCAAGGCATAAAACTGAAATTTATTTATGTTATCAATGAGCGTTTTTCTTAAATTAAATTTTATGATGATATAATCAAGACACATTTCGCGGACATCCTATTTACCTGCTGATTTTTGATAGCACCATAGAAAAAGTCGTTCAATAGACGGTAACCAACCAAGCTGCAGGATAGGCTCTGCCTAGTGACGTCCTCAATCTTTTGTTGACAACTGCCGTAATATTTTCACCTTTATAATCAAGTTGAATGTAGATAGGCTTTGTCTTCACTGTAATTTGCTTGACATTTGAGACTTCTGATCTTCTTCCATACTTGTTAATGAACCTTTGAGGGTCACCGTTACTTTTCAACATCTTTTCGAGAAACATGAATTCTTCCTCTAATTTTTTCTATAGAGGGTAGCCTCCTCACTCTATGGCATAGAGTCGTGATTAGTCCTTGTTTAAAACTATTTGGACAAGAACCATTAAAATGTAGGTATTGTCCATCCTATGTCGGCTTTCAGTGAATTAATCTCTGAGGTCTACTATCTTCCAGGCGTTTCATGGCACTGTCAAGGAAATGGAACTCTCCATCATTTCCGTGTTCCATAGTAAATTCAATGTTTACATGTACCTCGTTGAATAATCCGAATAGGTAGGAAGCAGGACTGTCATTGTTGCAGACTACAAATATGTCATCTGTATATCGACAACAAGAAGTTTCTTCGTCGACTTCATGCTTCAACTTTGTTCTTTCAACGCTGGACATGAATATATCTGGTAAAACAGGGCTAAGTGTACTGTCCATAACTACACCATCTATTTGCCGGTAAACAATGTTGTCAAACTAGAATCGTACATCCATGGTTCAAATTAGCAGTAGGCGTTTTAATTCTGACTCTGGGAGTGGGAGAAGATCAGAATGCTGGCAAATGATTTCGATAGTATCATTGATTGGGATCCTTGTGAACAAAGGGATTATATCAAATGACACTATGAACTTATGTGAAACGTTCATGTGCTTCAGGCTTTCAGCAAAATGAAATGAATCTTTCATGATGTACAAAGCTAACCGCTGAAAAATGGGTTCCATGCTCTCTGACAGCCAACGAATGACCTCATGCTGAGACGAGTTGATCATCGAAAGTCAAGATTTTAGGGGACTTGGTTTTTGTATGTTTTTCGACTGACATACATGTACGACAAACAGGATCCTCAGGATTTCAAATCATTGTACGTACTGTTGTCAATCAATTTTTCTCTTTAGAAGATCTCTCAATACGTTTGTGATACGTTTTCCAACTGCATATGTCTTATCTTTCTGGCGATTGTCAACTTTGAACCTCACCAGGTCATTTAACACAGTTTTTATCTTTGCGATGTAGTCAATGCGATATCATGTACCTCAATTTAATTACACCTTTCTCTCTCTCTCTGATCATTATAGCTCACACACAATCATGGGGCAGCATTTCTAACACGTTCCTTACTCAGTGTTACAAGGATGGGAAACCAGAGGATAGATATGGCCCAATCAATCCAAGTGATGATGAAACATTCACAGCTTTATCAAATATCTTTAATGAAATTCTCGGTGTATTCCCTGATACCCTACTTCATTTTGGTGGTAGTGAGGTAACATTTGATTGTTGGTAAGTGGAGTACTGTTGATTATTTTATACTTGGAAGTACTGATAAATCGAGGGTTTGAAATACTGTGAGCAAAGGACATTGACATCATTATTAGTTCCTTGAGTTCCGATCGGAGCATAAGGCTTCAACACAAGAACATCTACACTTCATTCTGTTCTCTGCAGTCGTCTTTATTTAGATACTAGACTGACCATAAACTCCACTCTCCACCATGTCACTGTCGGACAGACATCCAACTCATCAGTTCCTATTCAAGTTCCACATGATATATGGCCTGACGCGCGATGTCATCCAACAGTCTCTTTAGGGTGTGTCCAATTCCCCTCCATTTCTCTAGGGATATTTTTTGAGCAATACGTTGTTAATTGTTCACTATCTTGGAGGAGATTGCTTGCAACTGCATAAAAGCTCCCAGGGCTTCTGGTGACATCAGGGTAGTCACTGACCACTCAGTGTGCTCATGTTTGCCACCTGGGCGAGGAGATTAGATTATTGACTCTCCAGCTGGCAGTTTGGAGAGTTCACATTTTACTACACTACCGTATCTTCTCATTTCTTTTGCAATATGAGTAGCCTTCTCATCTTCAAGCATCTATCATGTTGACACACCTTATTCTCGTGCTTATTTCTGTTTCCATTGAAAGAAGACATATCGACTGACTAGATTCATGAAGACTTTCACCAACCCACGTCATTTAGTCTTTCTAGTTCCAGTCAAGAATATATTTGATATTTATATTTCACCCTATATAAGGTTCAATTTTTGATTTTGAATGAATGAAGGATTTCGTAAGGGAATTCGTAAGTCTGTTATCTGCGAAACTGTTCCCTAAGTGGATATTTCTCGCTTAAGTAATAAAAACACAAATCCCAACAAATCAATACTTGAATATCAATGAGATGCTCACTGGAGACTGGCCCTATCTAGGTTGGGTAGTTACCTGGGGTTCCAGTGGGAAGTCGTGACAAGTAGGGTGCAGCAGGTCAAGTGTAAGGACAAATACTCACCGAAGACATCGGCTAGCGGTTGCGCTATATCGTAAATTGGCAGAAGTGAGAATTCATGGGCCATTGGATTGAGTTCCAGTGGCTGATGAATGGTCTACGAGCTAGCTCGCCTTGTAACCAGAAGGTCCTGGGTTCACATCATAACATTCTAACAAGTTACTTATTTTGACTATAAAAACACTCGTCTTATTTCCCTTCTGATTGTATTTGATTGATAGCACTCATATTATTATTTCTGAATGTACATTACCGTACATTGATTTTTATTCAAATGTCTAATCCTCAATTTTTACTCATATATATAAATGAAGCAAGATAGTTGTGCGTGAGGGACTAGATATGTTTATGAGAAGTAATAAACTGTGCTGGAAACGTGGCCGCATCAGTAAATATTACTGTATAACATTGTGAGACTTTGATTGGACACTAGTAACTAGTGTGATGTGTCTAGTCCTCTCATTGGTGTAAACTCAGTTCTATCAGTCAGGTTGTAATGTGGCCACCATTCTGGGTAGTTCGCCATCCCTTTGCACGTTGATTTGATGATATTAGATGGTTGGAGGCAATCGGTTCGAATCTCACAAGGGATATGAGTTCCTTCAAGGGAGTTGCAGATACGCCTTGCTGACGAGTGCCAACTAGCACAAAACCTAGGTGGTGTCCAAGGCTTCCTGTGGCCGATTGCCTCCAACCATCTAATGTCATCAAATTGTGAGACTTTATCAAAATAGAATTTTATACATAATGGAATCGTTGAATATATATTTGAAACTGCATGTATAACAATTTGATTACAGAAAAAGGTAATGATATTTTCAGTGAAGGATACTTATATATATATATATATATATATATATATATAAATCTTTGTTGAAAAAGTTTTGTCAATGAAAACGGACTTGATTGTAAACACTCAATTTTGAGAGTATAAAAAGTTTACAATTTTGTCATCAACACAATTAAGTATTATTTAGGTATTGGTTTGTAGGGATTTGGTTGATTGGTTTCAGGATTTCATCATGATGCACTGACATCGCCTGGGAAACCGTTGGAAAACCATCACTGAAGGACTGGACAGCCATCTGTTTCGTCAGCCTAGTTTGGGACTCTTCAAACAAAATTCCTACAAATCCAGTACCTGAAAATATCTTGAATTGGCAAAAGTTGGAATTCGTGAACAATTCGATGGGGTACCAGTAGACTAACTAATGCTTGGCTTTTGAGCCGGAAAGTCCTGGGTTTAAACCTCCGTAGTGAGTGCGTACTGATGAATCTTTAGTCGTAAGCACTAGACTGATGAAAAAGCTGACTATCCATTACTATAATGCTGTGCTGGTTTTCCATAGTTGCTCTCAAACCGATGTGTCAGCTCATGATGAAATATTGAGTAAAATAAGTGTCTTAACGTCACTACAAGTGTTGATAGATCTTCCTCCTAGGGCCTTTATTCCAGTTACTGTAGTCTTACATTTTATGTTGAAATGATGAAAACGTGATGAAACTCCACTCGGTGAATTTGGTTCAATTCTCTAAGTGAGTATTCCCCTGATTATTAGCTGAGTGGTAAAAACTCTCGACTGTACCATTTGTCGATATTGGCAAAAGTCAACAAACTATATTCATACATTTGGTTCCCGTGGATAAATTTCGATAAAGAAAGGAAGGCGATATTTGCAGCATAAAATGATGGCATCATTCTATTTCACAGGTTCTCATCAACTGCAGACTACCTGTAATTACAATGGATGGTTTTATGGATGATAATAACATACTTTAATGTTTGAGTGGTAGTAGAGAAGAGATAGTGTAAAACTGACGCATCCAAAATGAAAGCATAACAATTTTTTAGTTTAAGTTTCCAACATCAATTTATACGTTTTCAAAGTTGAAAACAAGGGGAAGGGGTAAGACGGAAAACAGAAAGAAATTGATTAACAGAACAGTGTTAGCTTGTAGGTTGACATAGCAACTTAAAAAACAAAAGCGGTTACAGTTTATGAGATTAAGATTTGTTCATTGAGTTGAGATCACTGAATTAGATGACTAATCAAAATTCATTTACCAAGAGGGTGAGAGGTTAATCACACTATCTTTCTGTATGCATAACTCTGGTTCATTTGAATTGTTTGATTGCGATCTCTTCGGCAAATCGTAGTAAATCTGTTGTCCTTTGTCTATTTAATATTTTGAAGGACCTAGAAATCTCTACAAGATGTCTGGTATCAATAATGTGTCTGGTAATTGCACTCTGGGAATATCTGCTTTCTTTCAGGCACAAGTTTATGGAAATATGTTCAGAAAACCGGATAGAAGCCCTTCTTTCTATCTTTCCAATGTACTTGCTCCCGCAAGTGCACGTGAATTCATAAACGCAGTTGGAGGTGACATCTACGGGGTATTTATCCAGTTTTGAGTGGATTATAGAAGGAGTGGTGCTGTATACTGTTATGAGTTTTGCTGCCTGGAAGCTTCTCTTTATTGCACCTTTCAATCTTTTGTCAATCTTTTGTGACACTGCATCTCCTTTGTATGGTAGACAAATAAAGACGTTTTTCTTTTCTACAGTTGGATGCTTTTCTTTCTAAGCTTTTTCTCTGCTGTGCTTCTGTATAAATCCCTTAGGGTATCCATTTTCCTTTAGGCATTTCTCGACGAAATCTAATTCTTTTCGACTTTGTTTGGTGGACATAGCTTCCTGGCTCTATCGTACAAAGTCCTCACTAATCCACCTTTATAGCTTATGGGACAAAAGCTGTTATAGTGAAGATATTGTCCAGTCCAGGTTTCTTTTCTATAGATGGAATTTTCGACCATGCCTTCGTTTGTTATTTTTACATTTAGATCCAGGAAATTGAACTCATTATTCTGTTCATATTCCATGGTGAATTTGATATTTGGATGGATCTCATTTAGGCGATCATATAATGTCAATGTGTGATACATATCGTTGCAAACAACAAATGTGTCATCAACATATCGGCGATAGTAGGTCGTTTCATTGATAACAGAACTTAGTTGTGTCTGCTCAAGGTAGCTCAACAGACTATATTTATCAAGACATTTTATGTCTGACTGATGGGAAAATCACTCTTTGAAGTTGACCTTCGACAATGATTACAACTAAATTTTATTATTTCTATAAATAGGTATACGCCTTAATTTTGTGTAATTGTGTATTTTCAATTGTGAACCAACCGCACCCAAAATCAACTGACCCTACATGGAGACATGACATTGAAAATTTAACTCATTGTAACTGAATGTTTGTGGTACACTGGTAGAGCACTAACCAACTAAGCTAAGTAGTTGGGGGTTCGATACCCAGCCAGTGCATTCCTTTACACCTTGCCTAACCAATAGTAAGCCCAGTGAAGAGGAAAGTTCGGGCATGAAACTAGCGACCTCATCCCTTAAACAGAGCACCAATTCTACTGAAACTCCTAGGCTCTATCTTGAAGCTGCCCTATGTTCCATTGAAAACTCAAGAGAATACAAAAAAACCTGAATGTATGTGGAACAATGCGATTCATATTGCATTAAATGATATTCAGTCAAGTTAAACTTTAAGTACCAGTAATTTCAAGTGGAGTGCGACCACACCAATGAACTTGAAACGCTCAGCGAGCAAGTTAGTGAATCTTGGTGAATAATATTGTAATCAGGAATAAAATATGCTTAATGATGAAGTGTTATGCTATTAAATAGGATATCTGGCAAGTCTCATCAGGTTAGGTTTGGAAAAGATTAAGTTAATGTTTAGGCTAAAGACAGTTTGGGGTTAGGTTAACCCCGATAAGGATGAAATGAGGGTTGGTTTGAGTTAGATTGTGCGTTGGTGGCACAATGGTTAGGACTCTCGCCTACCATACACATGGTCCGAGGTTCGATCCCCTGCCGACGCACACCTCATATCTATGGTCGGCCTACAAAATTTGGGCCACCGATATCCATGCTGAAAATTCCATACTTGTACCAAACATACAGCGTGGAATCAAGCTGTAAATCAAAAAAAATATTTTCACGTTAGGCTTAGGTTCAAGAAAGTTTAGGGTTATTGTCAGGCTTAGAAGACCTGGGTAGTTACATCCATCGGATGTGGCTAGATTACTCTGTCGACACTCCAGTTCAAAACTGAAAGATATTTTTGTCATACATCAGAGAAGGGTATCCTGTGTAACAGTTTCATGCCTTATAATTCATTACTTTCATGAATATGCGTATTCTATACTCAATAATTGCCTTTATTATGTGTTTTATGCGTCTTAGGTCATTTCTCCGTTGAGATTTACTGGTACTTAAAGTTTATCTTTGCCGGCTTAACCTTTTCAGCACTCATTTTTGAAAGTGTATGTTTGTATTACTGGTAAAAAGTATGAGCACCTTTGGCATGTCTTGGCGGTCAGTCAGAGGATAGAATAAGAGGTTCATATGAAATAACTATTCCTGTACTATTCCAGTCATGTTTAAGCGCTGATCACAAGGAGTTTTATGATGTCATTAATAATAATAATGTTTCAAGCTTTACCACGGAATGACATCAGTTAGAGAACAACCGGAAGTCATAGAGCGGTTTCATTCTAGTTCGAGGCTCACCGGTACGGCTGGCAAGCATCAGGAAAGGGGGAACCAAAAACTTCTGGCTACAAGGCAAGCTAGTGGACCATTCAGCCACTGGGGTCCTACTCAATGGTTAGCCCATAAATCCTAACTTCTATCGATTCGTGGTTTTACCATGACAAATAGTCAACGTCACTGGCTAGTATTTGTCCTCACTCCCAGCTGGATGGACCTCACTGGTCAGCTTAGGCAGCTTTACCTCCTGGCCAATCCGAGTTAGGTCCCAGTGGCTGAATAATCTACTTGCTTGCCTTGTAATCGATAGGCCTTAGGTTCGAAATCCAGTGGGTGTGTGCTGCTGATGAGTTCCAAACCAAAATGAAACAGCTGTCGGGTACTCGAGTACTGGTTTTCAAAGGTCCTCCAACTGATATTAATCTTCCGTGGTCAAATTTGAAAAAAAAAACAAATAGAATCTATACAAACTAACGCTTGAAAATAAATCAACACTTTCATCTTATCTATTTACACTCAGGCAATCTAATCCAACTATTCAAGAATTTATGCAAACACAAAGCTTTGGTGATGATTACAATTCACTTGAAGATTATTATTTCCGAAAACTTATGGAAACTGTTCTTGGGACAAATTCATCAGAATGGACAGTTTCACCAGTCATTTGGGAGGATGTATTTGATAATGGATACCGTGTAAGTAGTTTTTCTTTTTTGCAGTAGTCTCTATACACATATATTCTAGATTCAAGCGTTTCCCAATTTATTTTGCCTATGAAACTTTTTTTTTGTTTACCAGAATGATATGAAATGATGCTGAACAACTTTACTCAGAATTTCATGGATAGTTAAAAGTTAGTCAAATTTATTGTCTGTTTGAGGGGAATTATGATATTGTGGAGGTGTACTACTAATAGGATTTATCAGTAGTATATAACGAGACGTTGATTGGAATAGAAATATTATCCAGTGATATCTACTTCACTTGTCACTCGACTTCTTATTCTAAATGACATAGGACTCTTAGTGTTGTAAATGGTGTCATTTTGTGACTATTATTATTATTATATCCTTTAATTCCTAGAGGAACATAGGGATTCAGCATCACCTCTCCATTGCCTTCTGTTTTCTGACAACTTTTTCACCCCACTCCAAGTCTGCCCACACGCTTTCATCTCCTCTTCACATGACCTCCTCCAAGTCATCCTTGCACTGACGACCAACTAATTCGCCGCTTCCCTTTCGGCTTCCACTCGAGTGATGGCTTGTCTAGTGATGTCACTCACTTGATGGTTTCCCAGAGTATGGCCAGCCAATCCATCTCCATTTCTTCCTGCCTATTTGTTGCACAATCGGTTCCTGATGGGTTGGTTCCATCATTGCCAGAGATCCCTCCCTGTTTCTGATCTTTTCTGGCCGGCCATTTGATCTTGAGTATCGAGCAAAGAGAACTGTTGATGAAGGTCTGAAGTTTGTTTGAGTGCTCTTTATGACGCGCTGGCCAAGTTTCTGATCCGTATAGTGAGTAGCACTGACTGACTTCACATTGGAGTTGATAATCCGGATCTCATTTTTGATGCTGAGTGCTGTTGACATCCACATAGACTTGGTGAGTGTAATGAAAGCTTGTCTTGCTTTTCCGATTCTGGCTTTGATATCCTCACCAGCTCCGCCTGTAGTTGGAACGACGCTTTCCAGGTAGATGGGTAGGTAAAGGAGGTTGTTTCTTTCAGGTTCCTCCCATTTAAGCTGGCTGATTGTTGTCTGTTGTAGTTGCAGCGGCTGTTGGTGTTGGCCAGGAATCTTCATCACCTCTGTTTTATCTATGTTCACCTGAAGTGTCATTTCATGCCTCACTTTATCACAATTATTGCAGAGGTCACCATCTCCAGTGTATTTTCGGCGCTATCTCGTTTGTCTCATACTTCGTAGTCACTGCCCTCTCCTCCGTGTTAATAATCGCACCAGCCTCAGGCAGAAAATCAGCGCTAAGTATTGTTCATCGTAACTCGGGCACATTAATGAATAGGGACGTAACTTCGCGACCGCCAATGAAAATGGTACTGTGTGACATGCGCATGATGCTTTGTGCGTGTCCACCTACCGTTTGAACTCACAACGAACACGGAATCTGACGCTATGATATAGATTCATGTCTATTAGTGACAATGCTGACCCTGTATCTACTAAACATACAAATTCTCAGTCATTCACTCGATAACCCGCCTTACTTGTGGTCTGACAGAAGAGAAAGAACACACACATTATACTGTCTGAAATTCTTTATTCTCCTTCTTTCTGGGCGTTGCCACCCCCGGTGCCCTGATTTGCCACATCCAAAACATCAGTATTTCCTGGTACTCACTCACTCGTTGTGCCACTACTTCACTCAACAAATCGTCCACTTTCTGTTTCCATTCATTCAATTTCGGTGGCTCTATTCAGGTTAGCTAGAGTTGTGCTAAACAGCTGTCTGGTCACCTTAGCTAACTCACCGATGTCCATTGGTTGTGCAGCGTTAACCAGCTGCAGACGCTGAGAAATTTATTCTGAGACACTCGCGAAGAACTGGGACTTCAGTAGCTGTGACTCTAACTGTTCATCCCATGTGGGTCTGCACGACATAGTAGATTCGTCAGCTTTGCCAACAGCACTAACAGGAGTTCGTCCGGTCCTAGCTTTGCAGTACGGGACCACCACACAGCCTGCTTGCTGCCTGTCCATCAAGCTGTGGAACTCTGCCATCAGTCGTCTAACCAGCACCTCCAAGGTCCTTGTCTCATCTAACCGCCCCACACTGTCGGACACTGCCTTTGCTCGGCCTCTCAGCACGGTCCTCAGCACAACCGCCTCCGCCGTTGGATTACTGATACCCACCAACTCAGAGGCAGTCTTGAAGTCCCACAAGAAGCTCCAAATGTCTCCTTCCTTGTCTGAAGGCAGCGACACCAATTGTAACGCTAGAAGACGAGAGACTTGGTAAAGAAATGTTTCATGCATTTATTCCCCTTAATGAATTTGAACAAAGCAAGAACTACAGTTTTAGCAGGAATAAAATAGTACCATCTTTTATTTCGTTGCCTCCTCGTCAACTCCTTACACGGCAAAGACATCGTTAAATATATCTACAAAAACAGTTTTTAACATACTTACACAGAGTTCATTTTAAACAAAAATCAATCGATCAATTGATCGATGAGGAGAAGGTAATCAAATGACATGGCCTGCCAGGCCATAATCACTCGAGTGGAATTTGAATAGAGAAAGATAAGTAGGGCTTAGGTCTACTCCTGTGGAGCCAATTATATTGGCTGTTGCTCTAGGAACCTAATCTTTCGTGCTTGAGAACACCTATCAGTGTGTCGCTCAACAAAGGTGTAGCATAAAAACCGTCAAAGGTTCCATATTCATATTCACCTCGTCCAAACAGGTGTCAAAGCTAAGATTGAAGAATCTTTCTCTGTATCATCTTTGCGGTATCGAATAAAATTACCAGAGGCCTCTAGACACTGAACATTCCAAACGGTGGAGGCAATCGCAATTCGATTAAAACTGCTGGAGATCTCCGTAAGGAAGAAACAGGTTCAACTATTACTGCTACCCTGGCCTTCTGTCAAACCTTTAAATTCATAAATTCCCTATCACTTGCCTTAATTTATTTGATGTCCGTTTTAATTTGACATTTTTTATGCATATCACTACTTACAGATACTTTTGAAAATGAATATGTATCGATATTTGTAAATAGATTGTTATTAAAAAGACGGTTAGTGGCAGCGAAGAAGAAAATTTTCATCATGAACTGACATCGGTTAGAGAACCATTGGAAAACCTGGGAGTACTGGACAGCCGCTCCGCCCTAGTTTGGGACTCTTCAACAGTACACACCCACCACCAGGCTTCGAACCCAAGACCTTGTGGTAACAAGGCGCGATAGCTCGTAGACCATTAGGCTACTGGTACCCACCAATCCAATGGCCAGTCAATGCATGAATTCCAACTTCTGTCAATTCACAACATAGAGCGACCGCTAGCGAATGTCTTCCGTGAGTATTTGTCCTCACACGCGACCTGCTACACCCTACTGGTCACGACTTTCCACTGGAACCCCAGGTAACTGCAAACCTGAATAGGGCCAGTCGCCAGTGAGCATCTCATTGGTATTCAAGTATTGGTTTGTAGTGATTTGGTCAATTGGTTACAGGATTTCATCATGAACGTGTACTGCTGAATAGTCCCAAACTAGGACGAAACGGCTGTCCAGTACTCCAGTTCTGGTTTTCCAATGGTTCTCTAACTACTGTCAGCTCATGATGAAATCCTGAAACCACTCAAATCCCTACAAACCAACACTTGAATATCAATGAGATGCTCACTAGCGACTTTCCCTATTCAGGTAGGTAGTTACCTAAGGTTCTAGTGAGAAGTCGTGACCAGTAGGGTGCAGCGGGTCGGGTGTGAGGACAAATACTCGCCGAAGACATTGGCCAGGGCTCGCGCTATGTCGTGAATTGGCAGAAGTTAGAATTCAAGGACCATTGGATCGGGTCCCAGTGGCTTAATGGTATATGAGCTCGCCTTGTAACCGGAAGGTCCTGGGTTCGAACCCCGTGGTGTGGATGCGTACTGGTGAAGAGTCCCAAACTAGGACGAAACGGCTCTTCAATACTCCTAGGTTTTCCAATGGTTCTCTAACTAATGTCAGCTCATGATGAAATCCTATAACCAATTAACCAAATCCCTGAAACCAATACTTGAATAAGAAAATTTTCTTTTCGACGAATTCATCAACTACGAGGCTGTGCATTCATGTATTTATATTACATATGTGAGAATGTTCCAGAATTATTTCTCGTTAGAGGTCAGATTAATAAAATTACTAACTGTAATAAACAGAAGATAGGTAGTGGCACTATTCTAGAAATATTTCAGGCCAAAGGTCAAGTTAAAAATTCCAATGTGTACTAATCAGGGAGATCGGGTAGAAAAGACGCTATAGGATTATAATTACTAGAAAACTCGTCAGTTTGTATAATTACGAGTTAAGAATGTGGTATTAATGAAATGAGTAGGAGGGTCGGACATATACAAATAAAAACAGTAACCAAATCTAATGATTCAGATAGAGATTTAAAAGGTAATTATAACAAATAAACGGGAAGGTTGGACAAGAAAGGTGGTAATAGGATAACCATTATTGGGTGAGACTGACTTTTTATGATGGCCACGGTAGGTAGGGACAACGGTTGAACGTATTTCTTTTGGACGCATATAATAGGCTTGAGATTTTGGATCGCCACTGCCTACCTCAGCTACTCGTAGATGTCTTGATTTCACTCCCTTTGGTAGGTTGGATCGGATCTTACATATGGCTTTGAAGGAATTTTTAAATAGGGCTGGATGTCCAGAATTCACCAGATGTTCTGTTATCGAATTATATACCTCCCTATGCGTTAACCCTTTGCTAGCCAAGCTGGATAGTGTTCTCACCCGCGTTTTACAAGGGGATGTATGGTACCGCCAATCTACTCAGCTACACATGAGCAAGTGAATTTCGATAAACATTTTGAATTGATAGATTGTTCATAAAGGATTTTTCATTATCAGCGATTCCTATTCCGTTTTCTAATACAGGGTGAACCAGCGACTGTGGTGCACGTACATCAACCTGAATACAAGTCAGTAATAGAAGAGGCCACAAAAGCTGGATACAGAGTAATCACTAGCTCCTGTTGGAAACTGAATGAAAACAAGCTTGATGATGATTGGAGAAAATATTATGAATGTGATTTCAGTACATTTGATGGTAAGTGGAATTTTTAATTGATAACAGTATAGATGTTGTTCTCCCATATTGGTTCGTTTATTAGATCTATCACATACAGTCAGTGAAACAGTATTATTATTCACTGGATGACAAGGTTTCGAACAAAATTTATTCATTGTTCATAGTCATATTGTGGTGAGAGCAGCCTGCTAGCCAATTGGTTGACATTAATCTACGTCAATATCTAGGTCACTAATATGGGCCATGAGAAAATATGAACAAGGCTGTTTCAACAACCAATCACAGCGAACTAAAACGTGGGCAAATATGATTCGCAGATAGATGGCTCCACTTTCCGAGGAACTCGAAAACAACCAATCAGAAGAATGCGTTTGTCTACTTGACTGGGCTATAATAATGTATGTGAAATTTATATAAATACGTGCTGATTTTCGTAATAAAACGATCTGTTACCTGGCCCTTGTCTTCTGCTGTTACGATATCACTAATTATAATTACACGACTTCGAGACTTGAGTTTTATAGTTTTCTTTGTTCTCTCCTGTTTGCTGTAGGGGTAATAGAATTTTCCAGATATCTAGGACAGGTGTTGAATCATTCTTATTACATATATTTGCAGTTGATTCGATAAACAAAGCTTCTGTTATCAATCTCTCCCTCCATTCACCCTGTTTCATTAGATTAGAATTTGAAACTGTCATCTTATATTCGACACTAGTAACTAGTGTGATGCGTCTAGTCCTCTGATTGGTGTAGACTGAATTCTATCAGTCAGGTTGTAATGTGACCACCATTCTAGCTAGCTTGCCAACACGGTGCACATTGATTTGATGGTATTAGATGGTTGGAGGCAATCGGCACGGAGCCTTGGACCTAGGTTTTGTGCTAGTTGGCAATCATCAGCAAGGCGTATCAGAAAGGACATGAGTTCCTTCAAGGTTGCAGATACGCCATGTTTATGAGTGCCAACTAGCACGAAACCTAGGTTCAAGGCTTCGTACCGATCGCCTCCAACCATCTATTACTGTCATCTTATCCCATCATCCTATTTTGTGGTTGGTGGTATGTAATTGCATATAATGAGTGCTATAGCTGAACTTTTCTCTACATTTCTTATCTTATGGGGTGAACTCATCTTAACGGATATTTGGATTGGTATTGAAATGAAGATCTTATCAGATATTATACTTCAATTAATAACCACAAATAGCCAACAGGAATACTTTTTGTTAAATGCAGAAGCATTGAAAATGGACCCCAAGGCAACAGCGGACTTGATGACGCCACTACTGGAGAAGGTGTGGAAAGAGGGCAAAGTACCTGAGGATTGGAAGAAAGGATACTTATCCAAGCTACCAAAGAAAGGAGACTTAAGTCAATGCAAAATTGGCACGGAATTATGCTCCTGTCCATCCCAAGCAAAATACTAAGCCGCATAATCCTGGAGAGAATCAAACAAGCCAACCTCGATGAAAAAAATCGACCGTAACAAGCTGGATTCAGGAGAAGTAAGTCACGTATTGATCAAATCGCCACACTACGGATCATCATTGAACAAAGCTTGGAATGAAAGTCACACCTATCTCTATCTCAACTTCATCGACTCTGAAACAGCCTTCGACAGCGTCGATCGAGAGGTGATTTGGCAACTACTTCGCCTCTACGGGGTCCCATCGACAATTACACATCTCATCCAACAGTTGTACGACAATGCTACATGAGAAGTAATCCACAACGGAAAACTCATGGAATCGTTCGGTGTGAAGACGGGGGTAAGACAAGGCTGACTGGCTGCCTACTATCTCTAATGATTAATTTCCTGATTGCGGTAGACTGGATATTGCGACAGACAGTGGCGGGCAATGAGGAAACAGGCATAAAGTGGACTCACACAAAAAGTTGGAGGATATGGACTTTGCCGATGATGATATATGTCTGATTTCCCACAAACCGGAAGATATGCAAGTGAAAAGCATCAAGTTGGCGATAGAAGAAGCATCCAGAGAAGACAGGACTTCAGGTGCCCATTATCTTTCATCTCCTCCGCCTCCTCCCCAACACACCATCTCCTCTATGTTACCCTCATACTGACGACCCACTCATTACTTCATTTTGAGATTCCACTCAATCAATGCCCGACACTTTCTTCTATTTTCTGCCATCCTCTTCAACTAGGTTCACGGTTGCCTATAATATCTAATCTACTTTTCACACAGTCTCCTCCTTGTCATTCTAGGATGACCTACTAGTTGCTACTCATCGAGACTCCACTCGAGGACTTGGCGCGCGTTGTCATTCGATGGTTTTCTTAATGTATCCACGATCAGTGCATCCCCATTTTCTCCTACATATTTGTTGAGCGATCGGCTCTTGGTTAGCCGTCTGATCTTCAGTATGGAGCTGGCGAACACGGTAACTGTTGATAAAAGATTGCAACCTGTTAGAAATCCCTTTCGTTACACACAGTGCACGTTTCTGACTCGTATAGAAGCAGTGACTGACTTCACGTTGGTGTTGAAAATCCAAATCTCATTCTTCATACTGAAAGTGGAAGATTTTCAAACTGGTTTCAGGTTGATGGTTAAAGGTGTATCTTGCCTTTCCAGCTCTAACTCTGACATCTTCATCCGTTCCGCCTGAATTTAAAATGGTGATGGCTGCTTAGATAAGTGAAGGAGGTAAACTCTGTTCAATCTCTCCCTCCCGTTGATGGGGATTGGTACTGGTTGTAGTTGTTGCTGTTGCTTGATTGGTTGTCTTCATCACCTCCGTCTTCTATATATCCATCTAAAGTTAGTCCTATCTTCGTTGGCTGCCTGCCTACTTCTGCTGCCGGTTTGTTGGTTTGCGTCTGCCTGCAAGTCTTCAAGTCTGTGTGACATTAGAGATATATCATCTGAGAAATCCAGATCTTCTAGAATCTTCTTATCGGTGGTCCAGCGTATTCCTGTCTCCTTGCTCCCTATAACATAATCCAGTCAGTCCACCACAATTAAGAATATCATCGGTGATAATGAGCAACTAGCCAGTCAGCCTTGTCTAACTCCTGTATTCACTCCCCAACCCTAATGCTAACCTTAATTCTAGCCCGAATCATAACCCTAACTTTGCTGAGCCACTGACCAATTATCCATACAGTAATTAAAAATGAGTTCTGGATGAAATTTGTCTATCAACTTGTGTACAAGGTTCATAATGGAACTATAATAATGGTAAGTCGAATTGTCCAATCAACAGTATGTGTTCAAGGTCGTCTGTGCGTTCGCACTCCTGGATCGTCATTCTTTAACTTGCCGTCTATACTTTATCCACTGACTTGAAATATGTTTGCTATTCTTTTGTTTGAAAATACTACCTTTTATTGATTAGTGATAATTTGAAAAATACTTCTAAATTTCTCTGTGTTATTTATTTTAAAAAATTTACTCTTTCTAGGTACTGCTGATCAGCAAGCCTTACTAATTGGTGGTGAAGCTTTACTATGGGGTTTCTATGTGGATAATGCAAATCGATCTCCAGCAACTTGGTGAGTTAATTGCCTAAGAAAAAATGAATTAATATCGAATACAAATTGCTTCAATTCAGAATTAAGTATAACTGATGCGTGTATTCACCTACTTTTTGTTACATAAGTTATTCATTTTACAACAACCACTTGGTGTTCCAGGATTTCACCATGAGCTTACACCGGTTAGAGAACCATTGGAAAACCACTTGGAACGTAAAGGAATAAAACAAACACTAGGGCACAAGCTCAACTCATTATTTCCTATTTCAGTTGTATTCTAGCCACGGCCTGGCGCGTAAATTCACTCGACAGTCTGTTCAGTATGTGTCCAACACACCTGTATTTGCTTCTTCATATTTGCTAGGCAATAGTTTCTTGATTGATTGATTTCACATTAGTGCTAAAAATTCAAATCTTGTTCTTGATGTTGGGTTCAGTGGACTTCCACAATGATTTCAGAGTAGTAAGTGTCTGTCATGTTTTGCTGAACCTGCTTTTCACATCCCCATTGATGTCACTGCCTGTAGTTGAAACGATTTCGCTCAAATTAGTGAAGGAAATAATCTCGTTGGTTAGCCATCTATACCTCTACCTTCTCTAAGTTTACTTGGATTCCTGTTTTCACTGCTTTGCCAAACTCTTACAGTTTCTGTGACATTAGACACAATCCATTACAGAAGTCTACAACTCCTAGATTTTTCTTATTGGTTCCTGTCTTCTCACCTCTTGGGTTCACTGGCATGCTCCATTCCATTACAGTCAAGAATGTGGTCAGTGATAGTAGGCAGTCTTGTCCTAATTCCTGTCTTCACTTTAAAGGTATCGCTGAGTTTTCCACTGTGGATTACATGACTTTTGAATGAGGCTGATAAAGTTTTGTTTCACTGAACTCCGCAGTTTTGAAGCCATTTTCAAATTACCTCATGGTCAACAACACTTTGCACAACCGAAATTTCTTTAAAATTTGGTTTATTATATCTTACGAGTTGATCACGGATTGATATCAGTTAGAGAACCATTGAAAACCAGGGAGTACTGGACAGCTGCTGTTTCATCCTATTTTGGGAATCATCGGCAGTACGCACCCACTGGGATTCGAACCCGGGACCTTCCGGTTACAAGGCAAGCTCGTATACCATTCAGCCACTGGGACCCGATTCAATGGCTCGTGAATTCTAACTTCTACTAATTCGTGATTTAGCGCGACCCCAACCATTGTCGTTGGTGGGACATCCATCCACACACGTGACATCTAATTGGACCTCGCTGGTCACGACTTCTCACTAGAACTCAGGAAACTCCAACCTGTAGCAAGTCACTAGCGAGCATCAGATTAACTTTCTATAGTTTGGTTTGTAAGGATTAGTTATGTTTTACGAGTTGATCACGGATTGATATCAGTTAGGTGCGTACTACCGATGATTCCCAAACTAGGATGAAACAGCAGCTGTCCAGTACTTCCTGGTTTTCAATGGTTCTCTAACTGATATCAAACCGTGATCAACTCGTAAAACATAACTAATCCCTACAAACCAAACTATAGAAAGTTTATTATATCTTTTAATTTGTAAAGATTTCATTCTTAGTGGTCATATTCATCGAAAATAATCTATGATTCCTGTACGATCTGAAGAGACTTGATCCATCTCCATACTGGTGAATATAACACGTGGTTCTCTCGTACGAATCATCTTTTGACATGTCAGTGACGAAATTATAAGTGATTCATTCATACTTGTTATGTTGGTAACCAACTAGAAAAGAAATCCAACCTCAATTCATAAATTATCCTCGCAAATATATTTTGATTTCAATGTACACTGCAATGAACCGAGAAAGAAGTGAAGAAGAGTGCTAGGAGGAAAGATAAAAGACAATTCTTTACGACACACTGGCTGGCAACTAAAGCAGAACAGGCAGGCCGCAGGTAAAAAGGTGATCTCAGTACATTATATCAGATAACTAGATGACGAAACCAATAAAAGGTAAAAAACAAGGGAACTTAACTATCAAGGAGGAGGAACAAATGAAACAATGGGCTGATCACTTCAAAGGACTCTTGAATCAACCATCACCCGGATCTCTCTCTCTCTCTCGGAAATACCACCACCAACAGAATGCACAGAACTGACCTGCCAGTGAACACCAATCCTCCAACGAAAGCAGAAATTCTGAATGCTATCAAGCTACTGAGAGCGAGTCAGGAACGCAGTAGGGCCAGACGGAATTCTCCCAGTACCGAAGCACTGAAAACAGTCCGTGGAAGAAACTCTGGCTAACTTGCCAAGCTACCAAAGGAGGGAGTCTTGAGCCTCACTCTGCAAGAACTGACTGACGTAGACTGATGCTTTTATCCACGCCAAGTAAAATGCTAAGTCGCGTTATTCTCTGTCAACTGGCCGGAACAAGCTGGATTCAGGAAAAGCAAATCGTGTGCTGATTAAATTGCAACTCTATGCATCGTCATCACAGAACAATGCATAGAATGGCTCAACTTCTTTCATCGACTTAGAAAAGGCCTTTGACAGACAGCATTGACCGAGGAGTAATTTGGAAAGTACTTCAGTACTACGGCGTACCTTAAGTCTTTGTCAACCTCATTCGACAGCTATATATAAAAATGGAAACCTCAGCGAGGCGTTCGAAGTGAATACAGGAATAAGACAAGACTGACTGACCATTATCAACCATGATATTATTTGCAACAGGCTAGTGCAGACTCCCATCAACAGTTGGCCATTTTGCTCACTGGCTGACTCCATATTCAAGATCAAATGTCAGGTGTGCTCTCTAGCTGAGCAGTGAGAAAGAATTAGCACGAAGAGAGTCTGGCGATGAACAAATCAACCAAAGAAGAACCGACTGATTGCTTAACAAATATGTAGGATCGGGGAAACACGCCACTGAGGTGGCCGTCGGTCGAATGACATCGCGCTCAATGCAGGCGATTACTTGAGTGGAAGGTGAATGGGAAGCGAGTACGAGGGGGTGGTGAGTGTGACAGTGACATGTAAGAGATGGTGTGTTGAGGAGGAGTAGACTGGGGATTATTGGCGATCGTGGGGACAGCAAATCTAAGGTTCACTCTACCTCATTTACTGTTGTTCTTGTGATTCTTCAAAGGATGTGTTTAGTCAGTAGTGTATTTCATTCGGCAACATAAATCTTGAAAATTACGCAAGCAGGATGTTTGTTGTTTTATAATTGCTTGAAATTTACACTCCAAGGCAAGTAAATATTTAAACAGATGTTCGCTCACTCTACCAATTCAGGTAAGATCACCTACGATATTGTCTCATGGCTGTATCATATAAATCATGAACTGGTAGAACTTACAATTTACGGACTAACCAATATATCGGGTTTCAGTTTCTAAATGGTCTACGAACTCACCTTGTAAATGAAAGGTCCTGAGTTTGAACCTCAGTGAGTATATTGTGCCGAAGAGTCCCAAAGTAGGATGAAAAGACTGTCCAATACTCCCTGTCGGCTTTCCAGTGGTTCTCTCTAACTGTAATCAGCTCATAATGGAACTTGTAACAAATCACATCTCTGTAAACCAACATTTGATAAGAATGTTTTTCATGCTTTTTCATGCACCTTACATTACAGGCCACTAGTTGCAAGCGTAGCTGAACGACTTTGGTCTACAGAACCTTCGGAAACTGAAGTATTCGCACGAAAACTTGATGAACTTCGTTTTCGAATGTCAAGGTAAGCGGTTTATATACAAGCAACTGGTGAGAATGGTTAAAAGTCATGCAAATCCGTATGTAAAATTTAGAGCGTAAGCCTATATTGATTGGTAATGAAAGACTATGTAAACATAATAAACTGACTGGTAGTAGGTTTTATCATCAAAGCGAAAGTAAATGGTGTTACATAACGTGAGCATTACTCCCCCCTAGGGCTTGACGCATGACCAATCAAAGTATCCTCTACAGTCCTACAGGAAGCCAGTCGTGAGCCCGTATAACCCAGTGGTAACGTCTCTGACTGTGACAATAGGTGATCTGGGTTTGAATCTCAGAGGGGCTATGAGATCCTTGCAGGTTTCAGAAACATCTTTCTGTGGTGACTAATAACAAGCATGGGACCAAGGGTCAGAAGAGCTACTTTTCGATTGGCTTCAAACATCTGACATGACAATAACTAGACGTATGCCATAGTTATCACGCAGAAGCCAATTAAAGTTGAAAGTTTTAATGAGGACAAATTCAATGATGAAGTGTTTCGGTTATGTGAAAACTGAAGAGTACTGCTCATCGGCTGTAATATCCAAACCACGAAATATGCAATCAATTGTATTTATTCTTCTTACTTGCCATAAGAGGCATATCATCAGTGTACATCATTCATCTGTTCGCCGATTGACTTCTTCGCTTGAAGTAAAAAATATTCTTAGTTTATTGACTTACTCAAGAGATTTCAAGGATCATCACTCCTATAGATCAGCCGCTTTGTTCACTATAACACAATGATGTATATATATATATAAGTAGGTTTGTGAGAATCATTCCAGAATGCAGTCAAGCAGCACTTTTTATCACACTAGTGACAGCATTATTTATTATGATACCAATTAGAAACATTTATTTCCCGATATGAATTTAAAACAAGCAAAAAAGGGATGAGTAATTAAGCAAGATTTAATGAATTCGTCGAATTTCAGTAGAACTCTTCATCTGATTTTATTCTACATTCAGGGATATATGTATATACTATTGGAAGTACATTAGGAGAACTATGGCTGATAAATGGCAAATAGAATACATAGAATTACTCGTGCAAAGCAACACATGTGAATGTTCATTCAGATCAGGTCATGTTCAAATAAATAAGGGGAGAGGAAGTATGAGAGATCAAAATTAAGATAAAATCCTTTACGCTACAATTACATCATTCAGGTGAATAATTAGTCACCAGAGAAAGAACTTAAATATTTCAAGAATTGCGAAAGGTGTCGATGGCACAGTAGTTAGGACTCTCTCCGACCATGCACATGGTCCGAGGTTCGATCCCCTGCCGACGCACACCTGATACCTATGGTTAGCCTGCAAAATTTCAGCTACCGATATCACATGCTGAAAATTCATACTTGTACCAAAAAATACAGTGTGGAATCAAGCTGGAATCAAAAATAACAATAATAATAATGTTGAAACGAGTTGAGATAATGCTACTGATAAAATATAGTTTTAAATGAATCAATAATAATAATAATATTAAGAGGTAGAATAAAGTGTTGTTAATATTAATGATCACAGCCAATATGCAAAACACATTACCATGGTAGATTCAGAGTGACGACCATTTCCTTGTGTACACAAACAGCTGGTTTATAAACTCCAATTGTCCACGAACCTCCTTCGTGATTGGTAAGCATCTTCCTGTTTCTTTGTCTGCTGACAACAGTGAGTGAGTGACTTGACAACGTCAATATTATGTCCTCAGTTCACAAGATGCTTTGTTATTAAGGTTTTTGGCACTTTGCATTCAGCTGTTTTTTTCAACCATTTTGGCAAATGATCCATCATGCGAGTAGACAGTCGCTTTTCTTTACGACCTATGTATTTGCTTCCTCCCTGAAACACACACTCAAATTTAATATACGCGGTAGTTTGAAGTGTCGAGGATTGTTGACTGGTCTTTCCCAGATTGTTGAAGCACTCACTTGGTGGTGGTGTTCAGGAAAAAAAGTTTTGCAGGATAATTAGTTCTCTTGATGGCTTTATCGAGTCTTCGTTTGACTACTTCCTGTACTTCATCATCTCCTTTGAATGGCAAACTGATGTAGACAGATTTCTTCGGAACTGTTTCGATAGTTTTGCAAGGGATAATTTCTTTAGAGTATTTATTAATGAACTTCTCAGAATATCCATTCTTAGATAAAATATCCTTCAGAGCCTTTATTTCATGTTCAGTTGTACTATTTATTTAAGTGATGCAACTGAAGCGCAATGCATTTTATCTTAATTTGAATCTGTCATACTCCCTTCCCATTATCTATTTGAGCATAAACGGGAAAAACATTCACACCTATCTGAGTGTGTTTCTAATAGTACATATATCCCTGTATGCATAGTATTCAGTTGAGAAGAGGGTCTACCAAAATTTGATGAATTCATTAAATCCTGCTTTTTGAACAAAGCAAGAACTACAGTTTTAGCAGAATAAAATGGTACCATCTTTTATTTCGTTGCCTTCTCGTCAACTGCTTATATGGCAAAGACATTATTAAATATATCTACAACAACAATTTTAACATACTTGCACAGAGTTCATTTTAAACAAAAATCAAACGATCACTATACACATACACTAATAATATACATGTATAAATATGCAATATTAAACACTATTCCGAACAACAATAATAATCATACACAATGGAAATTTTTCAGCATTTCGCATTCAGGTGAAAGAGAGATGAAAAATATCCAGTTACCAGGGAAAAGAAAGACTGATAACCGCTTCTTTCTGAACACACAAATTAGGTTTCAGGTGCTTGATGGAGATGGCTTCAGCAAACTTAAGGAGAATTGAGCTCTTTTACCTATTGATAAATATGAACGACTTTTCGACGTCCACCTCATGACCCGTGTCGAGAAGATGCCTGGTGATGGCACTGTTTAAAGCATTTGTTCCCTTTAGACGTAAGCTTTTTGGTACATGTTCAGAAAACCGTAGATATGCCCTTCTTTCTGTCCTTCCAATGTAAGGGGAACAAATGCTTTAAGCAGTGACATCGCCAGGCATCTCCTCTACACGGGTCATGAGGTGGACGTCGAAAAGTCGTTCATATTTATCAATAGGCAAAAGAGCTTAATTCTCCTTAAGTTTGCTGAAGCCATTTCCATCAAGCGCCTGAAACCTGATTTATGCGTCCAGAAAGAAGCGATTATCAGTCTTTCTTTGCCCTGGTAACTGGATGATTTCACCTCTCTTTCCCCCGAATGTGAAATGCTAAAAGTTTCCATTGTGTTTGATTATTATTGTTCGGAATATTGGTTAATATTGCATATTTATATATGTATATATTTTAGTGTATGAGTATATTGATCGATGGTTTTTTGTTTAAACTGAACTCTGTGCAAGTATGTTAAAATTGTTGTTGTAGATATATTTAATAATGTCTTTGCCATATAAGCAGTTGACGAGAAGGCAACGAAATAAAAGATGGTACCATTTTATTCTGCTAAAACTGTAGTTCTTGCTTTGTTCAAATTCATTAAGGGGAATAAATGTATGAAATCCTGCTTTATTAACCCGTTTTCTTGTTGCTTATTTTAAATGACAATAATTAGCCGACTTCATAAAATGACGCTTATTTTTTCATACTAAGGCAACCTTAATGATTGCATACTGGCGAATTCAGGAGCCACAGAATACAAGAAGCTTCAAAATTCTATGCCTTTGTCTACAGTATCCTACAATATCATGGAAGAATGAAGTACATAACTTTCCATTAACCTCGAAATGCAAACAACATTCGAGTTTTGAACACTTTCATAAGTATGATAGAGAAGATTCATAGATCAGGTGGATGATTTTGATGTGGTTGTGTTATCTGAACTGGATAGTTGATTGGCGAAGCTTTCATCACCCTACTAGGCGACATCTTCCTTCAGCGCATACTTCGATTTCAATTGAAGTGAACTTTTAGATTTCCCCACGAGTTTATTAATCATCTCTCCTGGTCGGTGACCACCTTGGACGTGACTCTTTGGTTGTTTTTGTGTATTTTCACACCTTCTAGGCAGCTACTTGTATTGGAACTGATTGTTTATTTGACTTGAACTTTGACCCTTTGTGTGTGTGTGAGGTTTCCTTCTTATCGGTTGATAAATTTTGCCCATCTCGATGTGTCTATGATTGATTGATGATTCACTGGAATACCAGGCAGCCTTCTAAAAATTCTCTAGCATTCTTGTTGTTTCGTCTGTCTAATATTTGAGCGTTACCCCAGTAGAATTGATGTCTGTGGTTGTCTATGTGCAGTGAAGTGATAGGAGGGAGTGGATATCATGTCTTTTGACGGCTAGTGTATGTTCATGGATACGAAGACGAAGGGGACGTCCACTTTGGCCAATGTAATGTTTTTCGCAGTTGTTCCAATTTATTTTGTAGATGATGTTGGTTTTATCTTCTTTCGCTGTTTAGTCTTTTGGTTGGCACAGAACCAGTTGACTAAAGTTACTTTGTTGGTTTGTGTACGACGTCAATTCCTAAAGGTTTGAAGAGTCTTGCAGTGATTTCTGAGATATCCTTTATATATGGCAGGGCGATTTTCTGTGTGCTTTCCTTAGGGGCCTTTGGTTTGATAGGTTGACTTGGGGTTATATGTCTTTTGATGAAGTTCCGTGGATATCCATTCTTCTGGAAGACGTCCATGAGATATTTTTCTTCAATTTTCCTTAAGGTGGGAGTGCTGCAATGAGTCTTGACTGGCCCTCTTGAATAGTGTTTGTATGCGATTACTTTTGTGTGTTTTTCGATTGTTGCTGTTGTAATTCAGGATTCGGTCTGTGTGAGTTGATTTTCTATAAACTTCAGTTGCTGATTCCCCTGTGGTTATTCGCTTGACTAAGACGTCCAAAAATATGACATATCGAGATCGACAAAATTCACTAACCGATAAGAAAGAAACCTCACACACAAAAGGTCAAAGTTCAAGTCAAAGAAACAATCAGTTCCAATACAAGTAGCTACCTAGAAGGTGTGAAAACACACAAAAACAATCAAAGAGTCACGTCCAAGGTGGTCACCGACCAGGAGAGATGATTAATAAACTCGTGGGGAAATCTAAAAGTTCACTTCAATTGAAATCGAAGTATGCGCTGAAGGAAGATGTCGCCTAGTAGGGTGATGAAAGCTTCGCCAATCAACTATCCAGTTCAGATAACACAACCACATCAGAACTTTCATAAGTTGAATTAGTTGTGTTCTCTTTCAGAGAAGGTTGATGCAATTGTGAAGTTTTCGTCGTCCCCCACCTAGAAAGCATTGCTTTATATGAAGTTTTAGTATGAAATCGACTTACTTGAATTCTCTAGAAACGGTGATGTTGTAATTGTATCTCCCTACTAACAACAACTGTCGTGACTTGTTGTGTGTTCATTTACGTCTCTAGTGATCATTTTTATTATTCACTTGAAATTTGAACTCTCCTGTCATTTTATGATTTACCTTTTATTGGTTGGTAAATTTGGTCTATAGTAATTAGTGTGTGTGTTAATCGCTTGCTGATTCACTGAAGTATTAACCAGGCTTCCAGTAACTCCCTCACGCACTGGACACAGAACTCCTCCCCACCAGAACAAGCTGGATTCAGGAAAGGCCAATCATGTTCTGACCAAATTGCAACTCTATGCATCATCATCACAGAACAAAGCATGGAATGGAAATCAAACATCTACCTCTAATTTATAGACTTCGAGAAGGGCTTCGACAGCGTTGACCGCGAAGTAATTTGGAAAATACTCGAGTACTACGGCAAATCCGTACCCCAAATATTCATCAACCTTATTCAACAGCTGTACGACAACGACACATGTCAAGTGATCCACAATGGAAAACTCACCGAGGCGTCTGGAGTAAACATAGGAGTCAGACAAGGGTGCCTGCCTATTATCACCAATGAATGATATTCCTAATTGTGGTGGACTGACTGGATCATGCGTCAGACAGTGAGTGGAAAACGAGAAGACAGCGAGGGATATCCTGTCTGGACCGACGTGAAGAACCTAGAAGACTTGGATTTCGCGCATGGATGATTTATGTTTGATGTCACATACAATCGAAGACCTGTAGGCAAGCGAAAACTGACAAACTGGCCGAAGAAGCAGTCGGCGAAGACAGGACTCCAGGTGAACATAGACAACACGGAGGTTATGAAAATAACCAGCCAACAAGAACAACAGCAGCAGCATCCAGCGTCAATCACCATCAACAGGAGGGATTTGAAAGAGGTTACTTCATTCACTTATCACTTATCTAGGGAGGGCGCATTGTCTCAGCTGCAGGCTGTCGGAACGGACGAGGATGTCAAATCGAGTGAGAATCGGGAAGACGAGAAACACATTCATTCATCAACCTGAGACCAATCTGGAAATCTTCGTCATCCAGCACCAACAACAGAATTAGGATTTTCAATACAAACGTCAAGTCAGTCAGTTCTCCTATACGGATCAGAAACTTGTCAGGCGGGTGGGTCACAAAGAAAATTTCTAATAGCCTGTTGCAGACCCTTATCAACAACTATACTGTGTTCGCTGGATCTATACTGAAGATCAGATGGCCGGCCGGGCCGGAAAGAATCACCAACTATTGGAAACTATGGGAAGAAACAAACAGGCAAGAACCAATCGCCAACCAACAAATGTGTAGGAGAAAGTGGAGATGGACTAGACACTCGCTGAGGGTGACATCGCGCACGTATCACGCCGTTGTTCGAGTGGAACCCAACAGAATGGGAATCAGCGAATGGGACGTCAGTGCAAGGATGACATGGAGGAGATCGTGTGAAGAGGAGTTGAAAGAGTATGGACTAACATGGATGCAAATGAAAAGTACAGCAGAAGGAAGACAGAAGTGGTAAGTGGAGACTTGCAGTTGAAGCCCTATGTTCCATTAGGAACCCAAGGGAACAATAATAATAATAACCAGTAATTCCCTCACCGCAGTTTTGGTGTTTCCTCTATTTAAAAGCTCTACATTATCCGTATCATCTAACTGTTGTCCATAATTATCTGCACACATTGATATGAAAAAATAAATATCATGTCATGTCTTTTTGCAGCCAATTTGTGTTCTTCGATTCGGTAGGAATAGATAGGGACGCCCACTTTCACTGGCGTAATGTTTACTGCAGTTCATGCATCCAATTTATTTTGTAAATGGTATTAATAATTTGATCTTCTTTTTCTGTTGGATCGGTCTTCTGGTTTGCACAATATCGAATGAAGTGACTGTGCTGGCTGGCTGGCTGGTTTGCGGGCTATATCTATTTCAAACGGTCTTAATATTCTACCTGTTATTTCAGAGATATTTTTTATGTAGGGCAGGATAAATTTTCTTGCAGTCTTTGGTGATGGCTTGTTGTTGGTGGTGGTGTTGGTGTTATGACTCGAGTTTAAACACTTTTTGATGAAAATGTGAGGGGAATATTTTTTTTTCTTTTTGAAGATGGTTAGTAGGTATTTTCGCTCCATTCTCTTCAACGCCTGAATAGTGCTATAGCGTTGTGTTTGAACTCTTTTAAACAATGTCTGCACAGGGTTTCTCTTGTGGGTAATTGGGTTATTGCTAGTATACTTGAGTATATATATGCTATATATACATGTTCATGGATAATCCCCATCCAGGCATTAATGAAAACAAAACACGTGGATCAGCGAAGAGTCTCTCCTCGGCGGCGAATTCATTTTCTTAGCTGTACAATCGGAAATATATACATATGTGTTATTTTATATGTATGTGTACATTAAGTTTGTCAAACAAAATTACAATTGGTCAAGGTTATTTTAACTAAACAGGTCAAGGTTGGTAATACAAGTCAAGAAAATTAAGTGTTAATGAAACTAAGGTAGTAAGAAAGGTGATGAGTTGTCATAAACAGTTGTTCAAAAAGAAGTTATGCAATAATAATATGAACAGTTTAATGAGTGAGTTTTACTCAGGATGCACATAGAAACAAAGTAGATAATACGAAATTATGTAAGAGATCTAAGTGAATACAAGAATTATAAGCAATTAAAGAACAGGCAGAGAAACAAAATTAAGTCATCAAAATAAAAATAAAAAACTCAAAACAAATCAAAACATTGTTACCATGAGAGTAGAAGTGGTTGAGTAATCTTCTTTTGTATCCACAGCTCCGGTTTTCTTTGTGAACGGCCAGAGCTTCAGCGGTACAAAGAAGACGAAACCGCATTGCCTTTGATAGGTTATTCTTGACTCTGTAGATTACTTTGAAGCAGGAGGCATTTGTTGAAATGCAATGATCAGTGTTAACCAAGTGTTCAGTTATTGCACTCCTTATTGCACCGCTATTGCCTTTTCGTAACCATGTTGGATAGTGTTGTTGAATCCTCTTGGACGGGATGCGCGTCGAATGACCGATGTAACTGGCTGACTTCACAGCAGCAGCAGGTGAACTGATATATGCACACAGAAGTGGTCATATGCGGGATCTTATCCTTGAGGCTTCCGCAGATCAGTGGACGACTGACTGGAGAACACTATTCTTAGCTTTGCTGCAAAGAATGTTCTTCTCAGAGATGATGTGATCCTTCTCTTGAGAATATCGCTTACTAAATCTCCCTTGAAATCCAAGTTCATGTAAAGTTTCTTTCTAGGCGCAATTAAAGAGTTTCGTTTCTCCGAATCCTTGGTTTGATATTTTTGTCGATGAATCTTATTGCGTATCCACTTTGGATGAAGATTTCTCTTACAATATCTAATTGTGTTTCCAGAATTACAATTACATCATCATTGATTGAGAATTCAAATAATTCGATTTTATACTACAACTTGCGGTAAAGCGATGCTTTCTAGGTGGGAGGGGGTGGGGGAAGATGGAAGCAAAACTACCTCAATATCATTCACCTGAGCTACTAAAATCTTCTCAATTATTTCCATAAGGATGTGTGGGTTTTTTATAATCGAGAACCAGGAATTCCCAGACACAAGTTTTTTTCCGCTTGCCGCCTAACTTATCAAACTTTCAAGTGTTGATTAGCAGGGATTTGATTGGTTTCAGGATTTCATCATGAGCTGACATTAGTTAGAGAACCATTGGAAGACCTGGGAGTACTGGCGACTGGCCCTATTCACGTAGGTAGTTACCTGGGTTCCGGTGGGAAGTCATGACCAGTAGGGTGCAGCTGGTCGGGTGTGAGGACAAATACTCGCCGAAGACATTGGCTAGCGGTCGCGCTATGTCGTGAATTGGCAGAAGTTAGAATTCAAGGACCATTGGATCGGGTCCCAGTGGCTTAATGGTCTACGAGCTCACCCTGTAACCGGAAGGTCCTGGGTTCGAATCCCGGTGGGTTCGTACTGCTGAAGAGTCCCAAACTAGGACAAAACAGCTGTCCAGTACTCCCAGGTCTTCCAATGGTTCTCTAACTAATGTCAGCTCATGATGAAACCCTGAAACTTATCAAACTTTATTGAACAAAAATTTTGAATGCAAAACCTTTTTTTTGTTTTACAGACGTGATTGGAGTGCTCAAGCGATAACTCGACCTCGATTGCGTTTTCCATAGCCAGTATGATGACAAACACAGACACACATATTTTTCGATTAGATAACACTTTTCTGTGAAATTAAAAATGATAATTAAATTTGTTACTAAATTCGCACCTAGTTTTATTCTTCTCTTGCATATTTTTATTTATATTATGTGATATAAATTCAGAATGGTTGATAGTTGAAAAATAGATATTGCTTTATGTGTGAAGTTTGTTTCGTTCAGCGAAGAAATTTCTTTTCAACGACTTCATTTTCAAGCCAACTGTACAGTCGTATTTATATTACAGAAAAAGGTTATTAAGTGGCACTAAATAATTACTCAGTCAATATACGTATATATGTGATAAAAGTTATAAGGCGTAGAGTTGAAGTGGATAAATTACAAAAATATTAAAGATTGTTTTATAACAAAAATGTCAAGTGTTGTCTAAAAATTTTAAAAATTAGGAGTACGACTACGATAAGAATGAAGATGTGAATTGAAGTGGAATGAATTCAAGTGGTAAAATAAAATAAAAACACAAAAAGAACATTATTATGACCAAGGTAAAGAAAGTGGTTTGACAAAACGTTTTTCAACACACACACACAATTTAGGTTTCTGTTCATGTATAGCTAAAGCTTCGGCTGGCTATGCATAAGTGAAGAAAACGTAAACTATTGGATCGATTCGATTTCGCCATGTAGATAATTTTGAAAGATGAATCACGTGGGGCTAAATGACCAGACTCTAACAGGTGATCATCACAAATAGACGACTTCGCAGTTCTACGTTCGCCTTTCATTAATTAGCCAAACCGGATAGTGTTCAGCCATACGTTTTCGGAGATTACGCCTACAACGTCCAATATAATCAGCTCCACAGGAGCAGGTTATAGACTAAATGCACACAGATATGGATATAATTGGTAATCTATCCTTGACGCATTGTCTAATCATATTACAGCTGGTAAAAACTAGACGCAAGTCAGCTGCAGGAAAAGTGCGTTTAACACATTTACATAAACGATTTTTAATCAATTCCGAAATGGTGTCACCTTTGAATGCCAGACTCATAAACAGTTTTTTCTTTGGAACTGTGATTTGTCTAGGGGCGGATTCTTTCTTGATGTTACGTTCAATGAACCTTGTGGGATAACCATTGTTAAGGAGATTTGATCGAAGGTTATCTAGTTCCCTATCGATTGTCTCTGCAGAGCAGATTTTACGAATTCTGGAGCATAAGGAATGAATAAGATTTCTCTTTCTCCCTAAAAGTACCCAACTGTTGAAGTTAGTGTACTGCCCAGTGAATGTTGGCTTTCGGTGAATCGACCTTAACAACGTTCCATTCTCTCTTCTATCTAGCTTAACATCAAGGAAGTGAAACGAGGAATTCGATTCTTCTTCGACCGTGAAAAGCAAAGATAAGGGTGAGAACCATTACATATTCTAAGAAGTTCAGTAGTTGAAGAGTTTTCATCGCATACAATGAAGGTATCATCGACATATCTTTTATACATAAACAGACTATCGATAGTTTCCTTTAGTGGGCCATTCTCTAAGCTTGCCATGAAGACGTGCGCCAAAAGCGGTCATAAAGGAGACCCCATGGCGATTCCATCCCTTTGATTGTAGATGACATCATTAAATCTAAATTGCACATTCAGTGTGCATCTCAATAGTAGTTGTTTAAGATAATCAGTTGGTAAGCCAATGTTCATGTTATTTGATTCAATATACTCGCATAGATAGCAGATAGTGTCTACTAGTGGTACATTTGTGAACAATGAACAAATATCTAACGAAATCATATGCTTACCAGTCACATTAATTTCATCAACACAACTGACGAAGTCAAAAGTGTCGGAAAGACTATGTTTACATAGATTTAATCTAACTGGTTCACATATATATTTATACAACAATTATTTACCTTTTGAAGACTGAATCTGTGAATATAATCTTGTTGACAGATAGTACCTATAACTATCTGTTTGGTATATTGTGACTGTTTATCACTATCTAATATCTATAACTGTGTATATAATGTTGGATTTATATGTTCAAGTCGGCTCAAGTCAGTGAGTCTCTGATTTTGGTATCATTTTGGTCAGCTGTGCTCAACTGTGACATTATTATTGTTGCTGTCGCAAGGCTGAACACTTCAAAAGACTTCTAAATCGATCGCCACCTACAACGTGCCCAACAATACCAACAACGGAAGCAGAACTACCAGTGAACATCGACCCCCTCCCCGACGAATTCAGAAGTCGTGAATGCAATCAAGATGCTAAAAGCTGGAAAAGCAGCAGGACCAAATGGAATCCCAGCAGAAGCATTGAAAATAGACCCAGAGACAACAGAGGACTTGATGACACCACTACTGGAGAAGGTGTGGAAAGAGGGCGAAGTACCTGAGGATTGGAAGAAAGGATACTTCTCCAAACTACCAAAGAGAGGAGAATTAAGTCAATGCAAAACTGGCGCGGAATTATGCTCCTGTCCATCCCAAGCAAAATACTAAGCCGCATAATCCTGGAGAGAATCAAACAAGCCAACCTCGATGAAAAAAATCGACCGTAACAAGCTGGATTCAGGAGAAGTAAGTCACGTATTGATCAAATCGCCACACTACGGATCATCATTGAACAAAGCTTGGAATGAAAGTCACACCTGTCTCTATCTCAACTTCATCGACTCTGAAAAAGCATTCGACAGCGTCGATTGAGAGGTGATTTGGTAACTACTTCGCTACTACGGTCCCATCGACAATTATACATCTCATCCAACAGTTATACGACAATGCTGCATGCCAAGTAATCCACAACGGGAAACTTACGGAAGCCTTCGAAGTGAGGACGGGAGTGAGGCAAGGCTGGCTGTCTACTATCGCCAATGATCTTCCTGACTGCTATAGATTGGATAATGCGACAGATAGAGAGCGGGCAATGAGGAAACAGGCATAAAATTGACTCACACAAAACAACTTGGAGGATCTGGACTTCGCCGATGATGACACATGTCTGATTTCCCACAAACTGGAAGATATGTAAGTGATGAAAAGCAACAAGTTGGCAGAAGAAGTATCAAAGATAGGAAGGACTTCAGGTGAACATAGAGAAAACAGTGGTGATGAAGATTCATGGCCAACACCAACAGCAGCAACAACAACAACAGAAAACAATCAGCCAGCATAAATGGGAGGAACCTGAGACAAACAACCTCCTTTACCTACCTACTAGTAAACCATCGTATCAACTAAAGGCAGGCGGGACTGACGAGGATATCAAAGCAAGCGGGATCGGAAAAGCAAGACAAGCTTTTATTACTCTCACTAAATGGAGGTCAACACTCAGCATTCAGCATCAAAAATAAGATCCGGATTTTCAACTCCAATGTGAAGTCAGTCAGTGTTACTATACGGATCACAGACTTGGCGCGTCATAAAGAGCATCTCAAACAAACTTCAGACCTTCATTAACAGATATCTTCCCTCAATACTCAAGATTAGATGGCCAGAAAAGATCAGAAACAGGGATCTCTGGGAGCGAACACGATTCGGATTCTATTCAACACTAATGTCAAATCAGTCAGTCGGTCAGTCACTTGTTTTATGCAGGTGAGAAACTTGCACTGCACACTAGTCTGTCAGTCACATAAAACATTTGCAACAGGCCAATACAGTCTCTTATCAACAGCTGCCGACTGCGCTAGCTGGCTGGTTGGCTGGCTGGCTCCATATTCAAGATCAAATGGCCTACCAGCCGGATGCCCGACTGGGCAGTGAGAAAGAATTTTCAAGAACAAACCCTTGAGATGAACAAACTAACCAAAGAAGAGCCGATTGAGGGGAAAATGGCGATGGATGGGGCATATATACAAGTCACAGTGGAAGCCACAGGTCAAATGACATCATGCTCAATGCAGGCCATTGCTGGAGTGGAATCCGAATGGGAATTGAGTACGAATGGGTGGTCAGTACCAGGGCTATATTGAAAATATAGTGTTTTTCGGGGGAAAGAAGATGACAGATTATGGGCAGTAATGCAGGGCAATATTCTATCGATAAACTTAGTATTTCTACGGCTACATCATCTAAAATGTGCGAAGTAGCATCAGTGTTCAAAATATTCCAAAGCTTTTTGGCTTATTTGTTACTATTCTCTTAGGTTGAGAGTTGAACATAAGGCTTCAACTGAACACTTCCATCTTTTTCGGTTATTTACAGTTCTCTTTTCAGCTGATCCCAGAATTGTTAATATGCCTTCACTTCTCCACACGACTTCCTCGCTTTCGTCCTCCTAGAACCGGAGTACAATTTTTCGTCTACCATTTAAGTTCTACTTGACATCCTACCTTACATAGAACGTCATCCAATAGTCTCTCCGACAAGTAACTATTCCATTTCCATTTTCTTCGGCATGTTTGTTGAATAATAGGTTCTTTATTGGTTGATTCGTTCCAAGACTTCATTCTGGCATTTTTTTCTGGCAGTCTGATCTTCAGCGCCTCACCAACGAATGTGTTAACTACTGATAAGAGTCTGCAGTGGCCTTTTGGAAGTACTTTTGGATGATAAGCCTACCAATTCTCTGAAGCATGTAGAAGCACAGACTTGTTTGACTTTAGCGTTTAAAATTCGAATGTTGCTCCTTGTGTGTGTGTATGTGTGTACTACAGGAATCCACAGTGAATTCAGTGTAGTAAAGGTTTGTCTTGTGTACTCGGGGTGTTTTTGCGTATAGTACAGCCAACTTCAAAATAGATATTCTAACTACATTAAAAAAAATTGATAAAACATCCTTGAAACTATCAGCTCATGATGAAATCCTGAAACCAATCAAATCCCTACAAACCAACACTTGAATACCAATAAGATGCTCACTGGCGACTGGTCCTATTCAGGTAGGTAGTTACCTGGGTTCCAGTGGGAAGTCGTGACCAGTAGGGTGCAGCTGGTCGGGTGTGAGGAAAAATACTCGCCAGCGAAGACATTGGCTAGCGGTCGCGCTATACCGTGAATTGGCAGAAGTTAGAATTCAAGGACCATTTGATCGGGTCCCAGTGGCTTAATGGTATACGAGCTCGCCTTGTAACCGGAAGGTCCTGGGTTCGAATCCCGGTGGGTGCGTACTGCTGAAGAGTCCCAAACTAGGACGAAACAGCTGTCCAGTACTCCCAG